TGCCAAGCATCTAGAAGGCCGATGGTGAAATAGACATAGGAAAAAAATATTTCATTCCTAGGCGCATTCTCCAAAATTGGGCCTCTAGAATTAGGAGCAGCAGAGTTTGAACTTCAGATTAATCGACTGAATTAGTATCGTTGCAGAACACCACAAGTGCTCTGTGTATAATTGAGCTTCCACAATAATGCTACAAGAAAAAATAATGATACTATGATCCTAAGCTCTTTATTAAACTATCTTTACACATGCAAAAACCATTTAAACGCTTTGTAAATTTAAATCTTTCCAAGAACAGTTTTGCAGCTCCATTATGAATGCAATCGGAGTATTTTTATGATCTTTCAAAAAGCAAAAACATAAAAAGGTAGTTGAAATACAATGGGCAAAGGATACAATAGCACTGCCAGCCACATGGTAAAATGAGTTCTTCGTTTTTTTACAAAAAGTTTAACTGTTACTGCAAGGCAAATCTTGATAATAAACGCTGGCTACTTTAATGTACATATTTTTAAAGTACTTAAGGAATGTAGTTAACCTTATTTGTTTAAAGAATTTTTCAATTATTACTACACGTGAGGGAAGACATCTGTCACATATATCTATAGGAGTGCTTGAGCCAGTAGCTCGCAAAATAACAGTTACAGTTTCAGTACTGTACTTCTACGTGATTGTGTACTAGACAGGTACTTGTATATTTATTATTAATATAAAGAAAGTATGCCGTGCCGTGGTAGCCAGGCGCTAAGCGTTCGCCGTAAATTTTATAGTACCTACACAAGCAACATCGTTCCGATCCAAGTTGCCATCAATAAAGAACTGCAATATTGAGTACTAATTCACAACTTATTTGGCAAAGAAGGATAATATTGTGGAGAAACCTGCATGTCTGAGGATCGGAATTAAGGACCACGGATTCGATAAGGTGTAGACCCAAGCTGTAACGTTTTAAGGCTGTACCTATAAAAGGTTGAGCTCGACCGGGGAATTACCACACTCGTATAGAACACCAGCGTGAAATAGCAGCATAACACTGCTATGTTCCGTGTAGTGAGTGTAGAGAAGTAGACACTCTTTTTACTCGTAATGAGGCATTCTATCTTAGTCCTCAAGGATGACATCGCATATATTACAGCATTCACCAGCCATCACATACTTCTATTAAAAATATTCAGTCCCTCAAATCGCACTGGAGTAGCACGGCAGACTAAGTGCTCCATAACCTAACCTTATAAACCTAATAAAGTCATTCACTGAATTTAAATATAAAACCTAGGGAATGTTCGTACACGCGTAGGTTCTCCCAATCCCCAGTATTTTCTGAAATTTGGTGAAGTATGCTAGAGTTGACGCTTAAATTTTAGTTGAAATAGTGCATTGTTTTGATATCAATTAAAATATATTGACGGCTAACAGTCTCTCTGATGGTAAGTGACTACTGCAGCTACATCTGCAACAGATTTCAAGCAAAGTAGCCCTGTAGACTTATATGCCTTTCAAGCCGTAGTTTTACGAGCTCTTTTCCTCAAACTAGAATACAGCAGTGGCTGCACTACCGCATTGCGGTACAAATATGCAAACAGAAAAGAAGACCTACCACCTAATAGTATTTAATAAAATTAAGAAGACAGTATTTGTTCCCGGTTGCTTTTATCTTGATTAATGGAACCTTATAATTATTATTAAATTCTTATGTAACCATTTTCATTCATTCATTTATTACGCCTAAGTCCTCGTAGTGGTTGTAGTATTGCGAATATTGATCATGAGTCCTTACGTCGGACCAAAAAATCAATTATTGAGATTTTCCGTCAAGAAATTCTCAGTAGCTGACCGGAGTCAGAAAGTTAGCGGTGTCTCACCCCAGTGCCTCACAAAGCACATAAAACCATTGATCCTTCACCTGATCTCTCCGGTAGTGTCGGTTTATCATCAGATTATGAGAGTGAGCGAATAAAGAGCGCACCAGTGCTTGCGCATACACTTGGATATTTTAATCCTGTCTTGCGCCGATCGGTGGCTAGTCTTCGTTGAGGCTGCCCGCCGTGACCTAAATTCGGTCTGGAGGAGATTATGATTATTATTATTATTATGCTAAGTCCACTGCTGAACATAGGCCTATACCTAGTTAATAATATGAACAATAGTAAAATATCTGTGAAAAATATTTTCCTTAATTGGAATCTGCTGAATGCACTACTGAATTTTCATCTTATTTAGTAAAAAAACTCTTAAAGCATGAACTGAAGGATAGGCTGAATTTATCAAAACTATATAAGTAGGTTAGTCTATTCTTATTTTGACAGTGAATCCTCGTCTGACCATTTTCAAAATAATTATGTTATAGAGATAAACATTTTTTTCTCAAACTAAACAGCAAATTATTTTTTTAGCAAAACACAGTTCAATAATAACAGATCCTAGCTGTTAAGCACACTCTGTGTGTGGACATGTTAATCCACACGAGTGCGCACTTATAAGCAGCTAGCAGCTACTGATAAGTCAATAAAGATCACTTAAAATTCCCCGAATATTTAATTAGGGTAATAGTAGGTGCCTTACCTAACGAGTAGGTACAAATTATTTAAAAAACTTCTTGAACCATTCATTTCAAATTTTAAAAAATAATTACAGAAATTGCTTTGACCTATTACTACGTAATTAGCCAAAACCTGTTTATTACTTTTAAACTATTTTAATAAATACTTTCTTACCTAATATGACAGTAATTATCTAATTATTAACGACATTTAGCGGTAATGCATTGATTGGTACGACATTTGAGTAAAGTTCTTCAATAATTTTATCTACCTAAAATACTAACGATGTAAGTTGCTTGCTTATATTTATAATAGATATGTATTTATTAAAACGCAGTTTTTTCTCCTTTTATTTTTGACTTAATATTTTGATTTCAATAGTTAAGTATGTTTCCGTAAGCTTTACGTTTAAGTACAATATTCATTATTGTGGGTTAGGTTAGGTTAGTATGCTACATTACAACTTATTTTGAATTAAGACTGTATATATAGAACTTTAATTAAAGATATTAAGTACGTAAAAGAAAATATATTCAGGCCAATAATGTAAATATTATTAATTTCTATAGGTGTATGATGAGATATAGAAGCGCGTTGAAATCTTTTGTAGGGGACGACATATTAAAAATGCGAATGATTTTTTCTGATAAAAGGATACTGAATTAGTAATACTATTAAATAATTTCAAACCGGCTTTGAATACATATGATCATTACAGAACTATATACTATTTACTAAGAATTGTTAATCTTTAGGGTTAAATAATATATTCAATTATTATTAATAACCTCCACTCACAGCCCCTTTTGCTAACAACGAAGAGGGTTGCTATATAAATTTAATTACCCACCATTCCTTTATATTTCTATAACGATGTTATTCAGGTGTTAGGGTCTTGTGACCTTCGCTACCAAATTCATTTGCGCCCTTTCTGTACAGGTGCCATTTCACCTGTAATTACTTAATAAAAGTTTATTGCTCCTTAAACATTAAAAGTTTGAATGATAAAGTTATCACATGCGGGTGCTTGTTTCTTTTAACGGTACGATCGATTTTATTTCAGCTAAAGTGACTACCACGTTAGGTGGCTTAATAAATTCTCGATAATACTTATATTTATAATATTTTAGACATATAACAAATAAGTTTAGTTGTGCAACTGCAACACCTTATTGTATCCTTATTGAATTGAGCTGAGTTAGTACCGTTATATTTACAAAACAGTCAGATTTAATCTACAGATCATATTCTATATGCACGATATTTACGCATACAACAGCTAAAGTCAATTAGTTTAAAATGACAATTGAGATCGCGGTGACTAACCTAAATACAAAGCGAGTGGCAATGGCTGCCGGAAACAGCGCCATTGTGCCGCAATCATTGACACCTCGCTGCCTACATCATCCGGTCAATTCCTGTCTCGTGCTATGACTCTCAACTTGACCGTACATGTACACCTCCATAAAACGCTATCGGAAGCTAGTATTGCATCTTAACGCCAGCTAAATTTTCTGTACCCGTACATTTATATTGTTAATTCATATACCGTAATAGAAGACGAGTGTGGTTATGGGACAACAAAAATAATTTTGAAGTTTTCTATTCGATTATATACTATACCAGTTATGTTTTCATTAATCTTGCAATATATACTTCTATGTGTAAATATATCATTTAAGTTGCAAAGAACAAATCACGTGGACCATTTTGGCACATTGATGAGAGTAAACATTTTATGAAAAGATATAAAAACTAGAGAGTTATTCCACTTTGCGGCTACTGTGGATCGTTGAAGTCTTGAAATGATTTAAGAGCTATGTCTGTTTATTTTGTGTCAAGGTAATTGTTAAATAATAAGACGTTTGTTTTAACATTCGTTGGAGGGATTTTCAGTTGGGCTAATTTGTAAGCAGAAATTACATAAAATTTTTTAATTCCACATTAAGAAATCACGGTTCACTTGTGTATCCTATATAGTTTTATGTTTTTCTCTACTGAAAATGTCATCTGAATAATGTAAATACTCTTTTAATTTTTTAAGTAAAATCAAAACTAAGTCCAACTATAAAAATAGTTTATTAGCATTCGTTCACAAATGAAAAAAAAAATGGGGACCACGCAACTCTCACATGATCTCAGGTAGATATTTGTTGTATACCGTGGCCGAGAACTGGATTCTGGGCAAGTGCGAGATCCTTTTTTTGGCAAGCAAGTGGCCGTTATATATAGGAAATGACAAATGAAACGTTATATTTGAATAAGTAGATTATGTTATACAAACAAAACTCAAACTCAAATAAGACAGTAGTAGATCTACTCTACAAATTTTATAGATTATGTCGCCCAGTAAAAAATAAAGATATATAATCATTATTTTTTACAGGACGACTTTTGTGGCTTCACGTTAGATGTCTCAAGAGATGATTTAATCTAGGTTATATTTTTACCCTAACTTACCAATGCATTCCTTATCCTTCTTGGATAACAGAGCAATGGGTCCGTCATCGAGAGGCGAGCCGGGGCAGAGCGGATCAGCTTTACTAGCGAGCAACTCTTGCCCCTCCTGCAGCCCCAGTTGTTGCTCATGCAGCCGTTTCTTTATTAGGAAAATCTTCGGCATTTTTGGGCTCTACTTAGCACTGCACTCAATCCTTGTTATGTAATCAGTCTCAAAAAATTCACCCCGTCCAAAGACGATTAACACAAGCTTGCATCATAACACTGCACGGTAAGTTTCCTCGCGTGGCTGTTTGTTTGGTGCGTAGCAGCTAGCGGCACATGCGGTACCGTTGGCCGCTGCGAGAGGACTGAGAGCTAGTATGTGTGCGGTGCTCGCGGCACCGTTGCCCGAACAGGTCCGCCTGCGCCCGCGCCCTCTTCTCCGGCGCCGCCCGCCCGACCCCGTGCGCCCGCGCCGTTCGAAGCCACCAACCGGCCCCATACTTCCATACAAATACAGATTCCAGTAAAAGTGCTCGCACAGACCTTCCTCCCGTCACAATTTTAACAATACCGCTTTTGTTTCCCTTATCTGTTATAACCAACTGTTTGTTCTCAATTTCGATGACGTAAAAAGTTCTGGCAGTTATGTTACGTTATAATTATTTTAAATACACAAAATATTTAAATCACTATAGTAGTTTTCCATCCATGTATCTTGCTATAAATTTTGCACATACTGAGGGGTGGGAAAATTTCATTGTATAAACCTCTTATATAACTATCAATATTTCACTTGGCAAACGGGTTGGTGGTGATCGCATTGCCAAATATTTTTACTCAGGTTTTTGCTGTTACCTATAATTTGAATTGCTATCTTAGCGAGTGAAGAAAAATTAAAACCTCTGTCATACTTTGTTTTACAAGGTGTTTGAGTACAAGCACTCAGTCCGCACACAAACGTGGCACTGGTTGGATTCCGTCTTTGTAGGTACCACCTATTTCTGCCGTTGAAGTAATAAGCATAACCAAAAAATAGCAATTATTTATGTTGGACTTTATGAGAACTTTGTTTGAGGTGTCAATGGACTTAGGTACCATCAGATGAACCGTAAGTTCTTTGCCACTTTAATTTTATAAAAAACACATGATACGAAGTTCTTAGAAGAAATCTCATGAAATCTGTGCCAATTGAGTCACGAAATGAATCACAAACCATATAACTTAAGAAACTTCTCAATATTGAACAATCGTAAACAAAACACGTTAATGATAGATGTTATATTAATCATTTTGGCTTAATAATATCTCTAAATATTTTTCATGTATGGTTCCCGGTACCACGATGTATTGTAATATTCCATTTATCCACATTTAAACAGTATTTATTATTCGGTGCTCACTTATTAAGATATTCTAGATGTAAATCTTATTCGGTGTCGGCAGTTTTTGAATTGTTGCGAAGGATCTGTAAAATAAAAGAAACCCAAACACGGACAGAGAGCAATCAGCGAAGGGTATTTTACAACTAAATAGGCGGGGTAATTCTCAAAACAATTTTTTTTCATAGCTGAAGTAAATTCTATAAGTTTTACGATGCCCAATTGTTTTCGTAAAATTTCCTTAATCTATACTGTGCCTATTCTTCTTTGTTTATAACATAATGCGACGCGATGAAAGTCTAGCCGGCGTCTTTGTAGCTTATATCTTGGCTTCTTTCTTATCTATTTCTTCTCTTTGCCTTTGACTGCGCCATTTCAATAAAACAGTCATTTCCTTTCAAAATATAAAGAATTATTTAGTTTTATATGTAAAGGGATGTGACGCTGGGAACCTAAAAGGATACTGTGTCTAGTGTTGTAGAAATCCTTTTCTTATATATCCGGTATTAAAATGTTTCTTATTTATGCTTACACCAGATACCGAGATTTAAAATACTTAATGAAACATGAAGATTGGGATTAAGCACATTTTAACAAATGATTTTCAGGAAGTACACGTTTGCTGTAACAATGCGTTTGCTGTTAAATATTGGTCCTTTTAAGGAAACTTCTATGAGTCTGAGTAGAGAGAGTGACTATTATTTTTTCCAAAAACAGATTCAGCAATTTTTGAATTTTTTAAGCTCTTGGTAGGTATAACTAACTAAAAAGCTGCTTTGAAAAGAAGTTTAAGATGAATAAAATCAAAAGGAGTTATGAGCTTAGAAGCTTTTTATAAACGTGACACAGTTAAGTTTTGTGATCATTTTTAGTTATATGCACATTTTAGGTTAAAGATGTATTCTTAAACTACTAAGCGAAAGAAAATAACTGTAGAAAATACCAATGTATAGCATCGTCGCGCCGTATAGAAACGAATATTAATAAATATTATGTGAAAGAAAAATAATAAATAAATTTAATACCACATATGATATTTACTTTTAATTCAACTTTTTCTTTTTATATGTTACAGTTTAAATCCGTTTTTAGATAGAACGTTTATTCACTAGTTAAACTAATTTATACTAAATGCCTTTGCGAATACTAAAAATACCCAGTCAAAACTGGAATTTACCACCGATATATTTGATTTTCAGATAAAACTAGTTGTTAATCCGAGCTTTAGTTAAACTGTCACTAAAGAAACTAATTTGGGATTGAAAACAAGATATACTTACTAAATATTTATTAAAAGTTTTTACACACGAATATTGACACAGTTGCTTCTGCAACGGCTTCTGCGCGGCAGGAAGTGCAGCCCCTTCGCCCTTGTGTACAAAATAACAGGCACTCATGCTCACCTCCGTAGCCTCGGCTTATTGGTCGCTTACGGCGACCAGCCTCAGCCGCTACGGCTCGCACAGATGCTTGCGATTTGCTACAGCGAGCGGGGGCTGCTCTCCCTTCGCGCCTACGGCTTTACAAAAACACTCTAGGTGTAGGGCAGGCGTTCCGATTCAGTTTTAGTACAGATTTGACCTATCTTATCTATATTAATCGCTCATTCTCAGGTCCGTTAAGCAAGCCAAAGTCCAAAGTAACGCAATTAAATCAGATCCAGAACCAAAGCTACGGTCGTTTGAATTCAGTCGGAACAGTTCTAACTGACTCGCTTCGGAAAAATGCGTTTTATCTAGTAAGAACTAGTTTTACCTGATATTAAATGTTGAGCATTAGTTAATTCTAGTTATAACAAAGGCATTAAGTAAAAACTAGTTTTAACTAGGGAAAACGCGTTCTATCTAAAAAATGGTTTTAACTAGCATATATAACCAATAGAGCTTGGGAAGAATCTCTTTTAGAAGCTGTCTCTTCTTTTTGGTGGTACAAAGTCGAAGGCGTAGTGTAACATCATGGTAAATGTTTTCTTTCTGAACAAATCATTCAGGTATAAAACATAGGCATAAAACTATGGTAGTTTTTGAGTGATATGTTAGTGATTATCTATTACTCCTCATAAAATTGTGCGACAACCTAATATGACATGTAAGGAGCCGGTGGATATACCAAAATGTGTTTAAATTTTTTATAGTCCTATGTTAAGTAGAGGACTTGCGATGGTCTGCGTTGATCTATTATAAGAAATACAAATTTTACATTTATATAACGTCAAGTACTACTAATTAAAATTGATATAATTATTGTTTTACTTAATATTATAAGTCAGTGCTACTATCCTATCTGATGCTAAATTAAACAAAATTTTAGTTCAGCATTGTATTTTACTTTAGAAAAGTTCAGCGCGATATTAGCGGAGCAACAAATAAGCGGTCGCCATTAATTTCACAGCACACGATGATACCCACCGGCACCAATGAAATTATTACGAATTTAATGATTTCTTGTATTTACGCGAATGCTACATGGAAAAAACTAATTTTATGGATTTAATTGCGTTTAATTTTTAATTTTTTAATTGCCGACGTTTCTGGCACTTTACAGTACCCATGGTCGTGATGACAGGTGTTTCGTCCTAATATCATAATTTACGAAGGCTACCTTCAACTTTTAATTATTGATTTTTTGTGCACAGAACGCTCGTTCTCCGTAGATCGGTTTGTCTTGCAGTAGTATGTTTAGGTTTGGATTTAGTTTTTTTTGGGAAATTAGGTATTTTGGTAGACCTTTCTTACTGCTTGAGAACCTGGGATATACGCGGATGATAGACGTACCTACACCACTCTGGCGACCGACTAATGGTGGAAAACATACATAAATATCCATAACATTGCATTATAAAATTCACAAGTCAGTAAACCGTGTTAATACCAGTTTTTATACGTGGTAGAGCCATGCTGCAGCTATATTAATTGTATAGTTGTAGTACGAATGGGTCGGCTCGACCGGGGAGGGACCACGCTCCTACAGAATACCAGCGTCAAATAGCAGCTTAATGCTGCTGTGTTTCGTATGGTGAGTGTAGAAAACCGGAGACCCTTTTTACTGGAAAAGAGGCATTCCATCTTAGTCCTCAAGGTTGACAACGCATCTTCATTTTTATTCGCAAACGAGGATAGATGTAGATGTCTATGAGCCACAGCCACCACTTACAATCAGGTGGACTGTGTGCTCGCTTGTCACTCTTTTCCTATATAAAAAAAAAACCAGTAATATCTAAAAAACTAACAAAGAATTTATGTTAGCATTTTTGCTAATCATATCTCACTGGTTTTTACACGTCATGGTTTTGCGTGTGCGTAGATTGCGCAACGATCACCTGCGCTAGCACAGCCCGGTTCCGCGCCGCCGATTGCATTTAAGTTCTTGGTAACGTTAACCTCCTTCAAGTTTATATGGCAACATTGTACGCAATCGGTGCACCTTACTCCAATATCGAGTTTGATCGGTGAAGATCTAAGCACGTTTATAATATTATTATTAAAGCAAATGGTAAAATTTAAAGAAAAAAATGTGTCACCGACTGCAGTATAATTAAAATGAGAACAACAGTAAATTAAATGCACATTATTAAGGATATCTCAAAAACTACTGGTGAGATCTTTATAAAATTTTTATTGGACCCCAAGAGAAGTACCAGCCTTCAGATAAAACGGAATCATCAAAATCAGTTCACACAGAGAAAAGTTATGAGGTACATATAAAAAAACACAGTCGAATTAAATAACTGCGTCTTTTTTTTTGAAGCCGGTAAATAAAAATTAGTAAGTTATAAGTATATTTCTGGAGAACTTTATGT